ATTAAAAAGTTAATAAATAATCTGAGACAATAAATACCATGTTATGTGTATAATCTATGACAGCGCTGCAAACAAAACACTCTTTCTTCCTAATGCCGGCACTTCACTTGGCTAGTAATAGCAAATACTATTTAAAAACATGAGATCAGTCTGTCCTTTTCATTACTTATCAAACATGACAAGGACAGACTGTTGTCAAGTGAAGGGCCGGCATAAACTCGATACTCTGTGGTTGTGGTGCCGGCAGTTTGCATTCGTAGTAATCTGTGGCATTCGTGCATTCTCGTCAAAGAGTAGTTTTTATATACGGAAAATTCTCGTTTCGGATTACCTGTTGTGTGTGTTTATTTGCGATTGTTTTTCTTTTAATTTAACTATTACTATCTAATATGCCATCGATGTTACCAAAGAGTAGAGACCTTATTACCAAGTGCTAGTGAACCTGTGCCACAACATCCTGAGAGGATCATACTGCCAAATTATTCAAGAACACCTGATACACATTCACGCTGCATATTAACACAATATACATGTGTTAAAAAATACATACAATATGATACAATTATGTCAAAAATAGTCAATAAATAATAAGAAGCAAAACTACAGTTTTTATTTTATTCATGATTCCTACATAACCAAGTTTATCCTAATACTTAGTTATTCTTTAAAATAGCACCGAATAAAATGAATTAGTTGTAATATTAATTCACTTCATACTTAGTTCATAGGTTGACCTATGTTTCATTGAATATTAAACATAACCTCAAAAAAATTTTAGTTTTCCTAATAATTTAAGTTCTCAGAAGTGTCCGCCAATAATCTTTGTTTTTACAGTCATTTACTTGCGATTTCGAACAACGAAAATTATATTTCATGGTTGTTGGTCCTAAGGCTAACTATGTATGGACGCAGAACAATGTCCTTTCAACTTTACAGAAGAAAAATAAATAATAATAATAATAATTCCAACACACACCAATTAGCTTAGCCCCAAAGTAAGCACTGTAAGGCTAGTGTTATGGGATGCTAGGGTAACGGATAGAATACATATACTGTACATATATAATTATATTTATATAGAAATACATATTGAACATCCATGACTGGAGTACAAATGCTCGTATTCATCACACAAACATGTGCCCCCACCGGGATTCGAACCCGGGGCTTCTCAAGTCGGTGACACCATGAAACCTGGCGTACGAAGGTCGTCTAATACGCCCAAACTACACAAAAAAAATACCTGACCTAATTTATCCAGATGCATATAAAATAACGGACGGGTTTTATAATTCTGACCTAATGAAATACAGACAGTCGATTATGTTAAGTTATTGTTGTAACCTAAACTAAGTTTAGCGAGCCGAGCGAGCAAAGCGAGCGTGACGCGGCAGCGGCCGGCGAAGAGCCAGCCCACTGATAGATAATCTATACTTATAATAAATCTTATATTTTTAAAATAACTATCAGGGGGTGATTAGTGATTGATACTGATGCCAAAAATGCAATCAGTAAATTTTTTGTCTGTCTGTCTGTGTGTATGTTCCTTATAGAAACAAAAACTACTCAACGGATTTTAACGAAACTTGGTACAATTATTCTTCATACTCCTGGGCAGGTTATAGTATACTTTTCATCACGCTACAATCAATAGCAACAGAGTAGTGAAGGGAAATGTTGGTAAAACGGGAGAAGTTAGGTACTCCATTTTTTAAGCTTCCGTCGCGGGTGCAGCCTTAATGGTTAAAGTTACATAGAAATCATGTATGACGGAAATATTCTACATAAAATTGTCTAAAAAATATCCCGCAACAGCATATGTCTATCTTTTATGGTTGACTCACAATAACACGTGTAATTATATAAATAAAGTCATTCTTTATAGCACAAGCCTGAGAACAAAAACTATAGTTTACACTACAGCTCTACACCGAAGCGAAGCGAGGGCGGGCCACTAGTAAATAAATAAAACTTCTTGCTTGGGAATCAGATGACGTATTGACGTTAAATTATGTATCTTTTGTGATAAAAGGCATTAAAAAGCATTGTGGTATCGTCAGTGCTTGGAGCTTATCAGTAGTCAACCAATTTCCTTATTAACCAAACGATTAGTTTAGTTACTACTTAATTTAAAGACTTTGCCTTTGGATATTTAAAACAATATTCATTCACAAGTAATCGGTCCATGTTCAAATGAAAATAACTTTATTCCTGTTGAAATACAAAATAATGACTCTCTCAAAGTTCATCGCGAAACAGAGGATAAGGTATGATTATGATATTATCTTTTTTTTTCCTTTTTTTTTAATCTTCTTTATTTCGAAGCTTTTAACTTATATAGATATGCCAGCCCCATCATATCCTAACATTATAAATTACAAAATTAATATAAAACTACGACGTATACTTAATCATAAAATTAAAATGACGAACCGAGAAAAAAACCTTTACATCAAGCCATCATCATTCATACCGTTTAGGTACTCATTGGTGTCGATTCTGGCATGACGCTCTAAATCTAAACTTAAATTTGGCAACATTGCATCCTTGTCATTCTCTAACAGAATCAAAAGGAGAGACAGATGTTAAATTTAGTTATAAGTTTAGAGAATCACCCCATAATCGACACCATTGTTGACTCGCTTCATCTTGTCATCAAATATTTTTTTGCAATTCCAATTTTAGTATTGGCTTTTATTTAATAACTAGCTGTGCCCCGCTGTATTACCCGCGGTTTTTTAGGGATATATTCCCGCAGTAAAACGTAGCCTATGGGTTAATCCAGGATGTCAGCTAACTCCATACCAATTTTCATTAAAATCGCCCCAGCTGTTTAGACGCGAAGAAGTAACAAACATACATACTCACAAACTTTCATCTCTATAATATTAAGTGTGGGTTAATGTGTGTGTATCTAAGTGAGCGTATGGGGTCCCAAGATAAATATATCTATAATTAACCACCTATTTTTCACTGTAAAATATATATCAAGAGTGTACGCAATTGACCCTGTTGTTAAATTCCTAAAATTTGCAGTTTTGCAAATTCTTGTTATTGGCTTTTAATTATTATCCTGAATTTGTGAGTACATGAACATGACACACCATCATCATCATCATCATCAGCCTATTAATGTCCCCACTGCTGAGGCACAGGCCTTCCCTATGAATGGAATAGGGAGATTGGGCCATGACCCACCACGCGGGCCCAGTGCGGATTGGTGGGTGTTTACGCCTGCAGATGCAGCCGGGACCAACGGCTTAACGTGCCTTCGGAAGCACACAGGAGCTCGAGATAGTAAATTTTTGGTCACCCATCCAATGACCGACCACTGCGAAAGTTGCTTAACTTCAACGATCGCAGCCGAACGCGCTAACCACTTGCGCCATCGAGCTCCTCATCGAACATGACACATACATACTTTTTATTTTTAAGTAAATGGTAAGATAAGGCCTGTAATTTTTATTATGTATTATGGAACACAGGTCTCTGTATCTGGAGGTGGGCGCTAATAGCTGTAAAACAGTTCTAGAAACTAATATATTACATGTAACTTTAATTAGTTCCAATAAATATCTTAATATATATAAATCTCGTGTCACAATGTTTGTCCTCAAAGGACTCCTAAACCACTGAACCGATTATAATAAAATTCGCACACCATGTGTAGTTCGATCCAACTTGAGAGATAGGATAGTTTAAATCTCAAATTATAGTCGCAATTTTAATTTATTGCAAATTATTACTTTTGGGCGGTACGAAGTTCGCCGAGTCAGCTAGTATTTTTATATATTTTTTCATTTTCATTAATTTGAAAATTGAAATTAAGCTTTACAAGCAGAGAAAGCTTAAATAGTGAGCCAGCAACTAGCCCTACGCCCGTGTAAGTTAACAGCTTTCAACCCTCGTTACCCCACAGGGGATGAAATTTTAAGTATACTTGCATTTCTTGCTTCTCTAAGTTATCAAACCACGAATTACTGAATGAACATCTTAAAAAGTAACACTTTGTCTATAAACAACTTTCATCCTCCTAGAATTATATTCCTTGCGGTCCCTAATCCAAAAAAACGTTTCTTTTTTTATATATTTTTGCACTTCTAACTTTATATAACAAACTGTATTTCCCTATTTCCAAAACCCAAGGATGAATTGATAAAACTGTACTACTTAATTGTATTATTTTATTTTACCAATTACCACATTTCTTTATTAAGAAAATGCAAACAAACATTCATGTTATCATTTTAGGTAATTAATTTACAAAAAATCCCTTCTGAATGTCCTCCTTACGCCACTACGAATGACCTTTTATGTGAAGTGTCAGATGAATGAATGAATTACTTTATTGTACACCATGAGATTGTAAATTACAATTAATTTAAACTTTGTACATTATAGTACAAACGGCGGCCTTATCGCTAAGAAGCAATTTCTTCCAGGCAACCGTATGTTAACTTGTCTGTTACATAGAGAGTGGCAAGTAGATGGTGTCATTTAAAGTGAAACTACCATTAATAATACTTATAAATAATGATGTACAACAAAAAATAAAATAAAATTCAAATACATAAACATAATATATCCATATATAAACACAATAACAATTTAATCATACTTTGGATGATGTGATGACTAGCCAAAACGGATGTGCGTTGATCGAATGCTCTATCTACTGTAAAATATTTTATTTCTACCCTACACCAAAAAAAACCTGCTATAAACAATATCCAGTAGCATTTAATATTCTGACACTTGAAAGATTAAAAATCTTACAAACTCCATTTCAAACTGATAGCTGACAGACGAAAAGATAGAGTTCATCCCCTAATCGATTGACGCCGGCGCCTTTACCATATCAATAATGGAGGAAAATTAAAAAAAATATATGCATAGTGCGTGTTATCAGGCAGTAGGCGCCGCCGCAGCCCAGCGCAGTGGTGGGGATACGAATTGCTATACTTATATACGCGAAGCCGCGCGGCCCACTCAATCTGACGCGATTCGTTAACGTGCGACCACGTTACATCACGAATTTAAACGCAATGTGTAAAGTGTGCAACACTCAGAGTTCCGTGATGGAAGCGCTCCCGCCTGCGCCTGTGCCGAAAAGCACGAAATCCTTAGAGAGACTGAAGAAAAAGCACAATATCATCACCGACCCTCACAACGAGGAGAAGCAGAAGGAGGTGGAATACCAGCCTGACCTCCTCGCTGTCTCCACACAGTACACCAAGCTGGCATACGACCTGTTCAAGTCTACGATGGTCCGCCTGCAAGAGACCAAGGCATACGTGTAAGTGAGCTTTCCATTTTTTTTTCTCTTTTAATCGAAAGCCACGCAACGGCATTCTGATTGGCAACAGCCCGCATTTTGTTTTGTGTCGTCATTTGCGTTTCTTTTATTGTTACCATATGAAGCGGAGAGCTAGTGAGATGGAAAATGAAGGCTAGGATTTTGGACGCAATGGGTTTATTTACACTATTTTAAAATAATACACTTTGTAATATGTGAAAACTTCCATTAAACAGAGTCCATGATTTGTCTGCCACATAAAAATGTGAAAGGATTAATTAAATAATATTAAAGCAGATGACATACAAAGACTACAGGAACACAATAGCGATTTTGATAGCGAAAATCATAAATATGTCAATACTTTAAAAACAACTTCAAAAAGCTATAAAAATTAAATCTATCAAAAAAGTTCGGCAGCACCATAGTTGAATGAACGACCTTACATTGCGGTCAATAAGTAAAACAAAATATTCTTGTCAAATCAAAATTTGCCAATGATTAATTTGATTTAGAGTAACAGAAGTGGCACGTGCATCGAGAACTATTTCAGTTTGGTCACGTGCATGTGAAAAGTTTGTGTGATAGGAAACAAATGACAACGCAATATTTTCTTTTATATTCTTTGATTGATAGGAGTGAAAGTGTGGACACTATTCTGTTTGTATGTTATTCAAAAAGACAACTTATAAACAGGTAATTTACAGACATGAATATTAATTAGGATAAATTTTATCCTGGTAGGGTTTCGGGGATTTCTTAGTCTACACATTAAGGTAAACATGTATAAGTAAACAATACAGTACAAGATGTAATTAGTTTGTATTGGATACTTAGCCGGACTGATAAGAACAATGAGTGTGAAACTTATTTTTGTTTGTTTGTCACGAGAGCAGACCGGATTCATTAGTTCCAGATATAGATCTAGATCTCTCCCAAGCAACGGCCCGGTGCCTCGAGGTCGGTCTGTCTGTCACGAATTGATTTCACGCACAAATTGTTTGGACGATGACTTTTTAATCTAAGTTGGGCCATGATAATTTGGCTGTAAAGCTTTCTACATGCCTCGTTCCCTCTTTTGAGATTCTTAAAAAAAATAGAATTTTGAGTGCTTTTAACACTTCCATTAAACAGAGTCTGTGATTTGTCCGCCACATGAAAATGTGAAAGGATTAAGAAACTCTACTGTTAAAAGTGGGTCAATATCAAATTATTTGAGTTTAAATACTACATGACAATACGAAGAACTTTCAAATTTTAAAGAAGAAACCATTGCCAGCTATTTAACATTGCCATTGCACAAAGAAAAGTTACGCAAAATACCTCCAATATGTCTCTCTCAATCATTCAGATACTTAACTTCCACTATCATAAAACGCAGTAGGTATTTTGCGATGTGCCTTTTTCAAATTTACGCAATACAAAATTTCCTTCAAGAGACAAAGAGAAAAACGTCGCGATAGAGTTTTATCAATAGCGTAGCTTACGTAACTGCACAACCTCGTTTCCTGATCAATAATCCGATAAAAACAAATGCACCAAAACTTTACGAATGACTAAAACAACCAAAAACAAATGAAAATTCAAACACACATATCAGAAAAGTTCTTTGTTTGAATCTGATTCGGGCAAAATAAGATTACAATAGCGAGCCGAATCAACGATAAACGCGGAAATGGTGAAGAACAAGGTATAACTCTGACGTCGTTTAGCCTGACGATCTGCAAGCTCCGAAACATACCATACCATTAAAGAGGAGTAAATCTTATATATAAAATTCTCGTGTCGCGGTGTTTGTGGTTAAACTCCTCCGAAACGGCTTTCCCGATTCTCATGAAATTTTGTGTGCATATTGCGTAGGTCTGAGAATCGGACAACATCTATTTTTCATCCCCCTAAATGTTAAGGGTAATCCACCCCTAAATTTTTTTTTTCAATTTTAGATAATTTTTTTTATGATACATCATACAAAAATACATACAACCTTAAATTTTCACCCTTCTACCACCAACCCCTATTTTTTTATGGCGGTAAGAAGTTCACTGGGACAGCTAGTATATTATAATATAGTGTCTGTTGCTATGGTCGCGTCCCCCTGCAAGTGAAGCAGAGATGAATTTAAAGCTTTCACTGAAAAAAAGCTTAGCTCAAGAGAGTTATCTTCAAAAAATGAAAATAATATGTCTCTCCGTTTTATTGTCTTTTAAAAAATTAAGTAAGTATCTCTATATTTTTCGTGTTATATATTATATAATATTCATCAATTCGTCGTCTGGAAAACTATAGTCAGAGATTGTATACAAATGAAAACTGCTATTAAAACTATTGTAACCATCAATAAAAATTGTTATCTAAATGGAAAACTAAGCCACTTGCGTATTCAAACTTTTTATCATTATCAAATATTTATCAGTACAAATTTATGACGTCCTTGTTTTACTCCTTATAACAATTTCACTTACATTTAAACTGCGCTATTGTAGTGATTGAGTATGTTAACTGTGTATTGATAAGGTTTTAATAATATGTAGTATTGAGCTCAAATCCTTTATGTATTGGTGCAATATTGATAAGACGGCAACGGCAATTGGAGCTGGTAACTTAATCATTAAATGATTTTGCCCAGTATTAAACCAAAAAACATATCAATACATTACAAAACCATATGAATCTTGTTGTGATCCTAAAAGTGCTTAAACTAGGTTCTTCCTGACGTACTCCACCACAGCATATCATTATATCATTAATAAAATTAATATACTATACCTATTTATCATTAAACACATACCATAAAGGCTCCGGCTACGCCGACGGACCTAGCGGTATTCCCGGAGTATTTTTTGCATGTTTGCTTCCAACAGCGTTCGAATCATACTGATGTTCTACAGCTTTTTCCGTAATCTATGTTTCATATCAGGCAATGCGTAAAAAGAAACATTTTTGCCGCAAGCATAGTATGTAAGAACCATAAAGGTGTCGATAAGGTGTGTGTATTCTGGCATGATTCTTTTACCTAAAAACGAAATTTACCTTAGTCTCTCCTTTTCATTATGTATATATGTTTCTGTTGGCAAATTTTAATTTATGTTTTGGGAATCATGCCAGAATAGACACCAAAAGGTTACTTTGCAAAATTCCTTTATATCTGACCACGAACTCCAGAAACGCGAAATACAATTTCAGCTACTTCCGGAAATGTTACAATTTAACAAAAATAAACTCTTCCTCCCAGGTAAAATCATTAATCTAAACTCTTCCTACAACAATTTGGCCACCACCCAAGTATTAAGGCCCGTATTATATAAAGATTCTCAGTGATTGATCTAGTCTTGAGCATAGTTAGAAAGGGATGTCTCTATATATAGTAGCACATAGCGGCATCCCTTTCTAACTGTACTCAATTAAAGATCAACACTTACATCCATATTCTTAGTCGTTTCCTCGAGATTTTCTCCACTCGACTCAACTTTATTGGAGGAAATTCGTATGCTTAGACAACAAAAATATCCTTCACTTGAGATATTCCTCACTCGAGTGGAAGTCGAGTCGAGGAATAGGAATACTTTAAGACATCCTCGAGTGGTGTTTAAGGTGTTTTCAAGTTATTTTTATCAAGAATTATGGCGAATTTGTGGATTTTATGGATTACGTATACGATTTATTTATTTATTCAGTAACATATACACGATGATGAACCATATAATTATCCGGCGCGACGGTATTTACGTGAAGCCGCAAATCCTTTTAAGGTTTACGCAATGATTCGTTTCAAAGAAGATTTCGGTTTAGAAAAGATACAGTCATACAAGTAATATTTCCTCTGCTTAGCATTATAGAAATAAAATCATCCAAGTGATGACTTCACAATGTTGAGGGATTCTCAGTGGAGGAATTCTCAAGTTTGTTCAAGATACCAACTAGAATACAATTTTCGAGGTTATTTGGAGGAACTCCTTAAGGAGCCCTCGAATGAGTTTAGGTCGAGGAACGTTTGAGGACACGATTAAGAATATGGGTGTTAGTTATCATTCTATATATAATACGGACCAAAGTCACCCAAAGTATATCAGAAAACCTGCCCCGGAGCACGTTTACCGCAATTCATCGAAGCTATTGTTTATAAAACCCAATGATCTTGTTATCATAACACAGTTTTATGGTTTGCTAACAGACAAAAATGGACTGTGCTATGTAGTGAGTCAAGATCTCCGTTCCCGTGAATGGTGAAGGCGCGTGCCCAACTGTGAGAATGTGATTCGAATCAGGAAATGGTAACTTGACAACTGTAATCTGTTATAGATGTGTCTAGATGAGAAGGTGATACGGAGACTTGTATTGTCGATTGTATATTAAAGATGAATGATGGATTATCTCCCGCTATATTGTTTTAAACTTTCATGGTCACCAACATTATAGCCATTAACGGGATTGTTACCATGTACCTTTTTTATGAGTCGTGAAATATCGGAGACTCATAAAAAACAAGGTACATGGTAACAATCCCGTTAATAGCTGTAACATCTTCCGCTATTTCCAAGACCATAGTTTTAACGAAAGTTAATAATACTTAGGTATATATTAAGCTGTTTTTTAATGAAATCAATAATATAATAAACTATAATGGATCAGCACTTCCGTTTTAAACACAATCTAAGAGGGATTCATTTTTGGACTGGGTACCTGTCTAGATAATGTTGAAAACAGATTTAACTACAAAGCGAGATAATTTTAATATCTTTTATCATACTTCCTTTATTACCTTTACATAAACCGATATCCGTTAGACTTGTCTTTTAGCTTCCTTTATAAGGATTTACGCGATATTTTAGGTAAAAATACGAATATTAGGTACTTGATTGAAGAAATTTAAAAATAACCACAATTGATTTAAACACTTACAATAAATAAGAAAATAGTTTAATACTGTCGTAAATTATTTTTAAAACTGTTTCATAAGCCGATGGCGATGACATGAGATGTTTTGTCAAAATAAAAAACTCGGAATGAACACTAGCGAATAACAAAAATTCACCCATAAAAAATATTGTTTCTACTGTCCATATATTAGTAATTGTTTAAAGAGTTTAAATTATAATTATTAATTAATTTAATGTGATAAATAGGTTGAAATCCAATCACTTTTTTAGTTATTTTTTGTGTTTTTAATAGAACCACTTTAAAATATACTTTACTAGCTGACCCAGCGAACTTCGTACCGCCCTAAAAAAATAGGGGTTGTCCAGCGGACAAAATTGTGAATCTAAACCATTCTCAGATCCCCTTGAACACACACAAAAAAATTCATCAAAATCGGTCCAGTCGTTTAAGAGAAGTTCAGTGACATACACACTCACAGAAGAATTATATAGATAAAGATAGGCACTACAAATCATACTTAGTATGTTTATTTACGGAAGCTTTATTGACACAAACCTCTGTTATCTTGTCTTACTAATTTATTAATTAGCTCTAATTAACGTCAATGATTGTGACTTATAAATAGACTTGTGTCAATGTCACTTCTGGTCATTTTATGGAGGCATTGAATAATTTATGAAAATGATAGCTTCCACATTAAATTATAGCAAAATGAAGACGAGCTTTTAGCATTTAGAATAATTGAACTTACCTAAGTCATTATTTTGTATTTGCACTTGTACAAATTACGATAACATGTACTTAGATGGCACCAATTTTATACTACCTGTTTATCTAATTTATAAAGTGCTTATTACTAACGACCTCCGTGGCCGAGTGGTTTGTACGCCGGGTTTCATGGTGTCACCGACTCGAGAGGTCCCGGGTTCAAATCCCGGTAGGGGCAGATGTTTGTGTGATGAACACGAGCATTTGTACTCCAGTCATGGATGTTTAATATGTTTTTCTATGTCATCATCATCATCATCATCAGCCGAAAGACGTCCACTGTTGGACATAGGCCTCCCCCATGGATTTCCACAGCGATCGGTCCCATGCTGCCCGCATCCAGCGGCTTCCCGCGACCTTTACCAGATCGTCGGTCCACCTTGTGGGGGGCCTGCCAACACTGCGTTTCCCGGTACGCGGTCGCCACTCGAGGACCTTTCCGCCCCAGCGGCCATCGGTCCTGCGAGCAATGTGCCCTGCCCATTGCCACTTAAGGTTTGCAATTCTGTGGGCTATGTCGGTGACTTTAGTTCTCTTGCGTATCTCCTCATTTCTGATTCGATCACGCAGAGAAACTCCGAGCATAGCCCTCTCCATTGCCCTTTGGGTGACTTTGAGCCTTCTTACAAGACCCATTGGAAGCGGCCACGTCTCGGTTCCGTATGTCATCACTGGCAACACGCACGAATTGAAGACTTTCGTCTTGAGGCACTGCGGTAGATGTTCCGAGAAGATGCTACGTAGCTTCCCGAACGCTGCCCAGCCGAGTTGGATTCGTCGATTAACCTCTTTCTGGAAGTTGGACTTACCCAGTTGGACTATTTGTCCCAGGTATACGTACTGGTCAACAGCTTCCAGTGTAGAGCTCCCAACAGTCACTGGAGTGGGTACGACATGGGAATTCGACATGATTTTCGTCTTGTCCATGTTCATTTTGAGACCCACTTGTTGGGACACCCTACTGAGGTCGCCGAGCATTGTGCCAAGGTCATCCATGGTCTCAGCCATGACTACGATATCATCTGCAAATCGAAGGTGCGTCATGTACTCGCCGTTTATGTTGATGCCAAGTCCGCTCCAGTCCAAAAGTTTGAAAACGTCTTCCAGCGCAGCTGTAAACAGTTTCGGTGATATAACGTCACCCTGTCTTACACCACGCTGTAGCTGGATTGGCTTCGTGCTTTGGTCCCGGAGTCGAACTGACATAGTGGCGTTTTCATACAACGACTGCAACACTTCGATGTATCGATAGTCTATTTGGCACCTTTGGAGTGACCGAAGCACAGCCCATGTCTCGATCGAATCGAAGGCTTTCTCGTAGTCCACAAACGCCAAGCATAATGGCAGGTTATACTCTTCGGTCTTCTGTATAACCTGCCGTAGCGTATGGATGTGGTCTACGGTACTAAACCCTTTTCGGAATCCGGCTTGTTCGGGAGGCTGGAAGTCGTCAAACCTGCGCGCGAGGACTCTCGAAAACAGCTTGTATACATGACTCAGGAGCGTGATGGGTCTGTAATTCTTCAATTGGGCCCTGTCGCACTTCTTGAAGAAAAGCGCCACCACTCCCCTATGCCATGCGCTAGGCGTTCTGCCCTCGAGTATGACAGAGTTAAATAGCTTCTGAAGAGATTTCAAGACTGGTCGTCCACCTGCTTTCAGAAGCTCGGCTGTAACTCCGTCATCACCCGGCGCCTTATTGTTTTTGAGCTGTTTCAGAGCTACACTAATCTCGTACAGGCTGACGTCCGGGATATCTTCGGTGTAGTGTCGGGTTAATTTGGCTCTTGGGTCGGTCGCCTTTGTGACAGGTACTCGTGATGTCGCGTATAGCTGTCCGTAGAAGCTTTCGATCTCAGCCATAAGCTCAGGTTGCGACGAAATGATTCTGCCGTCCTCTGTCTTCAGCTTCGTCAGCAAACTCTGTCCAAGAGACAGATTTCTTGCGAA